GGTGAAATTATTAACTTTTTATTTATTTATTTTTAATCTGATCCAATACACTGACACTTAACTTCTGAAAACTGCTTCTATTGCACTCAACTCTCCAGTGTTCTGCTGAGTAACTGTTTTTTTTAACTCAAATCAAGATTCTGTTTTAAAACTCACACACACACACACACACACCTGCTGCACCTCTGTTTTCTTTTCACAAAGAAGGATGGTGAAATTATTAACTTTTTATTTATTTATTTTTAATCTGATCCAATACACTGACACTTAACTTCTGAAAACTGCTTCTATTGCACTCAACTCTCCAGTGTTCTGCTGAGTAACTGTTTTTTTTTAACTCAAATCAAGATTCTGTTTTAAAACTCACATAAACCCAAACACTCTTCACACCAACGTCTGATGCTTTTATCACTCAGTGTTAAAATAAGTGAACTAAGCGTGCTATTTAATGTTTTGTCATTTTAGGGATGGATTTTTGGTTCAATCAGACTTAAGAATCTTTTTTTCCCAACCTTTTTATAACTCGAGTCTTTTAAAACACTGCAATTAATCAGACGGTAAGAAAAGGCACAGATGTGAGAAGAATTTCTTGTCTTACTGAGAGGGGTTTAATTCGTCTGAGATATCTTTCGGACAATTGCCCTTTCGGTAAGCTTCTGAAGTAGGATTTAAATTTTCTTTGATTTTCTGAATATCTAGAGTTAACTTGCTGACTTCATGGCACATGGAGGATTTTTGGTCMGACTTATTTCTTTTACTCTGATTTAAACTGTAACATGAACACATTGTTCTTATAAATGAAATGCTGTTTGGTCAGATGCTTAGAATTTATATTACAGCAGTGGTCATTTTTATACACTTACTTTAGTTTGTTAATATACATGTAAAGTAAGTTTTTATTGGCTTTGGCCATTTTATTTTTTCTTTCTTTTAATTGCAATGACATTTAAAATATTCCTGTTGTGGATCTTACTACTTTAAAAATAAAAAATAAACTAAATGTGTTTCAAATCAGCTTTTTTCCCCTTTTTTACTTTGATTCAATAATTATTTTATGTGTCTGATTTCTGGTAATGCTGCAGCTACAGTTTAACATTTGATAACATTTTTTTAAAGGACTAAAACGCTGTTTCCTCTAAAATATTTTAGGTTTTGGCTTTTTAACATTCCTCAGTTGAGTTTTAGGGATAAGCTGTACTATCTATCTACTGAGATCCTAAATGTCATCCTAGAAGAAATACAACTAAATCCTTTTAAATTAGCTCTTAGCAACTGGCCTGTCTGTAAACAGTCTCAGCAGCAGTGTTTTTACCAGAGAAACACACTGAACATGACTCATTCGGCTGTTAAACACTGTGGACACGTTGGCAACTAAAAAGCCAAATATTTAACACCAGGGCTGATGGAGAGCAGAAGAGCTACAGAGGAGGACAGAAACTAATGGATGCTAATGCTGTTAGGTATCTGTTAGATGAGTCAAAAAGTAATTGTTGCTTTTCTCGATAATTTGTTTACTGGTTGATGTTCTGGCCCCAAGTGAATAAAACTCAGCCATTATCTACGTTTGTCTGATGTTCTACTTAGAAGCTGTGCCAAATTAGGTCTTTTCCTTTTATGGCAAATTTGTTTCTCCTTGTACATGGTTCTGACTAGGGCTAGGTGATATGGCTGAAAAATGTATCACAATATAAGTATTTCATATCAGCTGACATTGATAATTTTTTTTTGTTTGATTGTTTTATCTATTTTAAATAAGGACCAGGAGATAAATGCTGATTAATGCTGGCAAACTGGTGACCTTTCCTCTTTTATCCACAATTTCCTCTCGAGCTGTTGCCTCATTTTCTCCTTTAACTTCACATCTTTCATTCATTCATTCATTCATTCATTCATTCATTCATTCATTCATTCATTCATTCATTCATTCATTCATTTATTTTGAAGCAGGTATTGAAGCACGGTGGAGAAAAAATGAAACTGCTACTGTGCATGTAATGCAACAGGTTGTTGTAGCATAACAAAGAATGAGTTAGGATGCATTAACACCATGAAAGTCCTTTGGTCCGCTTGTTTGGTCTTGACCAAAAGCGGACTTTATTTTATTTATTTATTTTTTGTTGGAGAGAAATGACATGGACAGGACAGAGCACAGACCTGAAAAGAAAGATGGCGCTGTTAATGAAATTTCAGTATCCTATAGAATTTCAAGAGCAGCTCATTCAAATGCGGTTTTGCGATGATATCCTTCTAATTTTGGGACAGCATTGGCAAATGCTGGCCACAACCCAAAGAAAATAAGATGTTTTTCTGTCCCTGACCCACAACAGCTCATTGTTTGTTGCGTAGTGGTAGCGTTAGCAACACTGAAGGGATATTTGTTACCATGCTGCTTATCAGTGTCTCGTGAAGTCCGAAAAGAGGGCATGTTTCCTCTAGTTTGTGTGGTTCAAGGCTGGTCTGTATTCACACAAGAAGTCAATTGCACCATAGTATTTTGGAAGTGGGCCGAGACCACCTCAAAAGTGGGTCTCGGTCCGGTTGTTTGGTCAGCACCAGGGTTCACCTGAGTGTATTCACACCTGCATAAAAGATCCAGACCAATGAGYGAAACAAACTCTGTTCCGTTTAAAGCGGACCAAGTGTGTAGTTGATGCCACCAACTTTGCTTAGCTGGGCTGTTAGAGGTCAAACGGCTAAAGCTTTTCCTCTGACTACATTTCCCAGAATGCCATGCAGTTCTGTGGTTCAGTGAAATCAACTTTTATCTGATCTATTTTCTTTTGATATTGATCACATATCTAATGTGATGTATCGTTAGTAGTTCAGACCTGACTTGAATTAGCGTTAAAAAGAAGTATAGCCATCAAACAGTTTGCCATTTGTTTGATGTTAATGCGCCGTTTTCATTTCAGCTTCATCTACATCACCTTATTTCCCAGAATCACAATGTTATGACTGTTTTGTACAGAGTTTTGATACTGGGTACAATAAATGCTCTCTGTTTCGTTTAACTTCAGGTCACCAGCAAATGTTATCCTTTCCCATTTGTTATGGTTCGTCTGTCTTTGATAGCTTCAGTGATGAAAATCCCCCAAATCACAGGAGATTTTTTTGATCAAAGACTTAGCTCAGTCATTTGAAAAATCCAAATCCTGCGCCAAACGACGTGTGTAAAAACAGTGCACTGTGCTTTTCTCTGTGTCGTTCAGGTGAGCACCTCCGTGTCTGTCCTCAGGGATACACCTGCTGCACGTCTGAGATGGAGGACAAACTCAACCAGCAGAGCAAACTGGAGTTTGAACATTTGGTGGAAAAGAACAGCAGCAACATGAGGATGACATTTGTCTCCAGACATAAACAGTTTGATGGTAAGCTTAGACCATTTTCTTTTCTGTCCAGCATTAGTTTGTAACAGAATATAGGTCTCTCAACCACTCCTAGCTAAATGTACATCACACAAGCACTTAATGGCTCAATTCATAATTGCGGCTGTTTGTTCTTCTTGTCCAAGCAAAGGAAGGGTTGATAATGTGTTTGTTTGTGTTTATTTGCACATTTAGCGAAATATCTCATGGATTACTAAACATATTTTAATGAAATTTGCAGAAAACAATTCCTAGATGACTTATTAACTTTTAAAGTGAACTTGAMGATGATGGCCATAATCAACCTTAACCTTCACAAAAATGCCCGCACCTCAATGAATTTTATAGATATTGAGCTAAAATTTGGTGTGGTAGTTGTTGACTATTATTACCAATACATGCTCTAAGCATGAAAAAATCATTCTAGACTGCACAAGATATTATATTTTGCTTTCTAAGTTTAATTAAATAACTTCATTCTAAAAATATGACATGAAATGTTGTGTAGTGTATGTGTTTCCTTGAAGGATGACAGATTTGTAATTGACGAATGAAAAGATTTCTTATGTGGATACTTTTTAAAATTCTTTTCATTTTCTACTCTTTCCTTATTCTTTGCAGCTGCTTTGCCAGCCATTATATTTGCTCATCCACAATCACCATGCAATTTTATGATTGACCGACTATCAAAAAGACCATAAACAAGTCTAGTGTGTGTTTGTGTGACTTGTCCTAAAATAATCACAATGACTTTATCCAGAGTGCAAATAGGATAAATGGGTTTTTGTGAAGAAAAAAATGATTCGATTTGGACTCTAAAGCATCCCTGTGGAGGTACAAAACCAGGAAACTGTCCCTAAGTTTAATAAAATACACATTTAGAGTCATTGAGTTTAGATGGATGTTGGTTGAAAAATTAAAAATCAATGGCCAGTGGCTGATTTTTAGTGGCTGGCTGTGACCTGTCAGAGTGTATGAGCAGYGCACCAGACAGTGTAACCCGAACCGATCTGTAGATTATAGGAGAATAAGTGGAGAAGGCAGACAGATTAACAGGCAGGCAGGCAGATAGATGAGGCTTAGTGTGAGGCCACTGGTAATCACTGAACTTCACCATGCAGGAACTAACRACAGAGAACAGATGTGTGCTAGAAGTAGCTGAAACTCCACACAGAGAAACACCAAMCAAGTAAAGTCACCATGGTGTATTTTAGAAGGGTTAACAATTAATGAGCCGATGAGGYGATAAAACCAGTTTATTCAGCACACCCTGCAGATGATAGATTACACTGAGCTGTTCGTGAAATGGTGTACTGGGTCAGAAATTGGTTTTATGTTGGTGGTACATGTCAGAGTAACATGTCAGAATTGCGTGATATGGTTTTGTCCAAAACGACACAGTGAGCCTGTCTGATTCTTGTTGCCATCTTTCCTTCAGTTTAGAGAAACACATACGATATCCGAATTAATTCAGGATTTAGTGGAGATTCTTGAAACTGTTCTGGAGTGGCTCAGTTCAGTTTTAGCTCTGTTTTAGGTTGAATCTAGCCTGGCCCTTGCCTTGATATGCAGTTCCACACAATTCTAGTTTCCCTTCTCTGCTCCATCTGGGATTTCTCCCATATACAGGGATTTCTCCGGWAAAATTTTAACCGGGCCAATCAGCCAACAGGAGTTTTTAACGATTATGTTGATTTTCTGCGCCGTTTTAGTCTGCCGGTAGTTTAGCAATGGCAGCAATGGAAGTGAATGAAGCCATTCACTCTGTGTTAAGACCTCTAAATTAAATTAAATTTGTCTCACAAAACCTGCAGCACTCATTTACAGCCATCTCGTTCATCTCGGTACTTCTCTCTTCCCAGTAGGGGATGGTTGTTTGCAGCGCATGCAATTTCCAGTTAACTTCTTAGCTTATAGCCTTCTTCACAGTCAGCACTGCATACATCACAGCCAAACATTAGTGATTGGGTGAATCAGATCCAGTTGTTTTACACTTCAACAGAGTCCACGCCTCCAGCAAGAAATTGCTTCTCGACAGCCGAGCTTCCAGAAGCAAAGTGTAGAGCAAGGGGCTGGGTTTTATCAGGCTAGGTTGAATCCTGTTCCCATTAGAACTCTGAGTTTACTGTCAGAATTATTTCAGTACTGTCAGAAATTACTAACTGGTTAAAGAGTCTCTACTATATCTTCAACTGATTTGTTTGATTGTTGTCTCTGATCAGCCAACAGACTGGCTCTGTTAAGTCAAACTTGATGAACTCTGATGATGCTTTTAGACAAACTGTCTTATGAAGGTCAAACAATCCCAGTCTAAACATGAGCTAGAGGTCTATGCTTTTGTTTTCTGTTGCACATTTTAGCCATGTAAAAGGGGACATATCGTGCAAAATCCACTTTTTTAGGCGTTAAATTCATTTTGTTGTACTTGGAGTCTCTAGGACTCAAGTTTGATTTAGTTTCTACTCTTACTGAAAAACTATCTTTATATTCTGTTTGGGTTATAGCTTTCAACCTATTCAATTTTCTTAATTTTCTATAACATTTTCTGAACTATTACATCTAATTATTTATGACAGAATTTCTAAAGGAGGTCTGGACTTACTAACTCCAGTTTGGTGGTTTTCATTCTCCTCTGGTTCTGATCCAGACTGATTCCAACACGTAAGGCTGGATGGACAAGTCTTCATTGAATGAAGTTCATTGAAGTTTCTGTGCAYCTATACACTCACCGACCACTTTATTAGGTACACCTGTCCAACTGCTCGTTAACACTTAATTTCTAATCAGCCAATCACATGGCGGCAACTCAGTGCATTTAGGCATGTAG